AGAAGTGAATCAACAACCATAACTTTCCGTCTGAGTTATATCAAAAACGGCATGTGTTTAAAGTGATTGTAACAAAATAACTTAACAAAATGAAAGACATGATGTTCATGTATGATGAAATATCGTCCAGACCAATAATTTGTTCACACGTTAATATTAAACTTACAAAGGACAGAAAGCCATATTTTGTTTTTTTTCCTATGTGAATTCCGGGGTCCATTTTAATGGAGAACTGAACAGACCCACTGCTCCTTGAAGCAAATCGTAAAAGATGAATAATTAAGGATTTCCTCACATTTGATGCGTTGGGCAGAAATGCATGGATATCATAGCCTAGCTGTTAACCACAACACAATGTGCCAACTGCTTTTTCAACGGCAAATGTAAAAGAAGGAGATTGTTATTTCCAAGAGGTTGTCACAGAAAGCCAGTATTCCTGGCCAGTATCTTTCAACTCACATTTTGATTTACTTTGTCCTAGTTATCATGTTTTGATTTTCCCGTTACCATCATGTACAATATCACTATAATCCTTAAATTTAAAAAGTAAAGTAAAAGTAAATGACCCTGTTCCACACCTTTAGACGTATAGGGCATATAGGGCTAGACCTATATTTTTTAGGCCAATTGGCACAAGATGGGTGATGTGGTCAGCATCACGCCGGCCGCCTCTACTTCACGGGACTGCACCCGGTACCCACTCAAGGCTGGGTCGACCTGGGAATCCTTAAATATAGCAAACAGAAATATGTAAAATATAAGTTTACTAATATGCTAGTAAACATGATATGATTTCCAAGGGAATGCATAAAAAATAATTTATGCAGTAAAATTAAAAATTAAATCCTGTTCAAACCAACAAATTCGGCAAACACTAATATTAACTTATGAAAGACATGTAACAATGCTTGTTGACAACATTTCCAACAGTTTCTCACAAGAAGACAGTAAGCTTTCACATAATATTGCTCTGTTTTGTTCTAGTTATAAATTGTTAATACTTCTGCTGTCATAATGTACACCATCATTATAGTTCTCAAATATAGCACACAGAAACAAGTAAATATCAGATAATCACTACAGCTCTTAGATATAGATAAACATGTAAAAATCAGATCATCAGATAAAGTACCATCATTATAGTTTTGAAATATAGCACAGAGAACCATGTAAATATTAGATCGTCAATATCATACCAATCATGGCATGTCTTTAAAGTGAATTAACAGAATAACATAACAGATTTAAAGATGTAATGTTAATGCATGATGAGATATTGCCCAAACCAACAACAAATATTTTAACTCTACCAGACCGCTGTACCGCTTTTTCTGTAATTTCCTAATCTGCCACTAAACTGCTGTGCCTAATTTTCAGTACTTTGCGTACTATGTGATAAAAAACTAACTAAAAATAAACAACTAATTGTGATCAAACCTCATGGTTAGTCACTGCGAATGATTGCCCACATTTGTTTGGATTTACATTGGTTAAACATGAAAAAATTATGAAAATTCACAGTGAAACGAGCGGCTGATGAACCAACCAAGCACATCGACAGGAAAGTGAAGTAGGTCTAGGTTTTTCAGTCCAACAGGTGACCGATACTTTGGTTGATTCAGACTCTGAGGAGTCAGAATTTCATGAAGAATACGTTCCCAGTCATTGAAAGCTGGAGTGATGAGGAGAATCTTGAAAATTATAGATTTAAAACTAGATTGATAGTAAGAGAAGAGGGTGTGTCCCTTAACAGCAAAATCTGGTGCTCACTTTGTGAAACCAGGCTGATCCTGCTGGGTAGATAGGCACACACAGGTGGAATACTGGCCCTAGATGAAAGGTAAACCTATTTTCTACAATGTCTCAAAATTTTATTTTATTCGAACCACCTCAGGTCTGGTAGGGTTAAACACTAATGCTGGCACTTTTTCATCTTTCCAGACAATAGTAATCAATCAATCAGGTGCCATCTCCAGGTGTCCTGGTTGTACATTCTCTTTCCCACATCTTGCTCCCTTGTCCTTGATCTTTCCCTTCTGTCCAGTTTTTACAAGCATGTGGCCAAAGTATTTCAATTGTCTCTTTTTTTTCCTTTCAGTAATTCTCTTTTCATTTCTAGTCTTTCCAGAACCTCATTAGACTGTTATTTTCATGAAATATGACCTTTTCTTGTGTATACCCACATTTCCATAGACTCAATTTGATTGTCTAGTTGCTTGTTTATTGTCCAAGTTTCTGCAATAGTATTATATTGTGTGCTATAAACAGCAAAGTGACTCACAGCCCAAACTCTCAAATTAAATGTACAAAGGACATGCAGCCATATTTTCAACTATTTCCAAGAGTTTGAATTCCTGTTACTATCATGAACAATAACTTAATTATCAAATACTGCAAACTTAAATATGTAAATTTCAAATTATTGATATAATATGAAAGATGGTATGTCTTTCAAGTAAATGTAATATAACAAAATAAGATCAAAGATATGATGTTTATGAATGATTCAATATTTTCTGGAGAAAAAAACCCTAATTTTTTTCAAACATAAATATTATTTTGACAAGTACATGAAGTCATATTTAGGGTCCATACATCCAAGAATGTATTACAAAAGCACGTACTTATGACCAATAATTTTCAACTGTGAAGAATGTGAAAAAAAAGGATGCTGGCGTTGAAGAGGAGAAAAATATAAAGAGAATGTCTTTATAATGGAATCCACACAAGCATACAAGTAAAGGCAGATAAAAACATGGGGAAAAGAATAAAATCCCGTTTTCACAGGGAAAATATAGCTTAAGGTTAAAAATTTAAAAAAACATTTCAATTGAGGCAACTGGGTATTTTTCCCTTTTAGTATCGGCACGACGGTCTGGGCCTACCTAAAAAAAAACATAATATTGTCCTGGTGAAAACGAAATGATATGTTCACCCTAAGAAAGAAACTGGAAAGTGAAGTGACAAAGGTGGGGGAGGACATGAGCTACATGCAACAACAAGGGATAGGACATGAGTTGGTTGAGGACCTATGCTATGATACTCCAAGGGACATGTTGGCTGCAGAGCCCATGATCTCTAACAATCCTACAGTAGCTAGGAAGTCACCTGGCTAAACGGATGCTTCAACCTCCAAGAAACCTACATATTATAGGCAGACACCTGTACATGAAGAGGTTCCATCCAAAGCAAACAATAGCAAGTAGGTCAGTCAAGACTAGAATCAAGATTTGTCAGATTAATGAAGGAGAAGTTAGATTCTTGGAGCTCTCAAGGTCCAAAATTAGCGACTATCTCAAATCTTCACCAGGGAAAATGAGCATAGCAAGAATCAGAAAGACATAAGAGGGAGCTATTGCTAAGCACAATATGACAGACCAAACATCCAGACTGATTTGAGACATCACTACCAAATCCACAATAGAGCAACAGTTACCTGAAAAGATAATGATAAATAGCAGTGGAGATGTTCCAAGACATAAGAAGGTGGGTGGTCAAGTGGACATTAAATAGTCTAATCAGGAAACTGTAGAACCCTAAGTAAAGAAAACCCTCAGATAAAGATAATCAAGGCAGAAACAAACTGTATCTAAAGCTATGAATTCAACAGTGGCCGTGATGACGACAGAAGGTGGGTAATTCCAGAAACTGTCAAGCTCGAAAAGAAAACACAGAAGCTGAATGCTGAATTAAGAATCGACATCATAGCACCCAGGACACTCACATAATTGCATTGCTGAAGAAAAGATCCAAAGTATGCTCACTACCCGTGACCTTCCCAGTGAAGCTAGCCACTCTGCTCAAAGCATCCCTGTCTTCACCCTTCTCAGTATGCTTTGTCTGTTACAATTACGACATGTGTATGCATCTTGTTCTCTAGCCACCAGAGAGCTGACGTTACAGCCTCCACCTCCAATCTCATGCTAGATGTAGTGGTGTTATATGCTAGGCTATCTTGCACTAAAGTTTTTCAATTGGCTTTCGCTACGAACCCCCAAGCACTCCTCTTTCCTCTCAACATCGAACCATCTGTACAGATAATCAGATCATCTGGGAATGAATTGTCATGAATCAACTGTTGGACTTCCACCTCCATTGAACCCGCTGGCCACTCTCTCCACTCCTGGCCCAATGAAATCATAACCATACACAGGTCAGACTTTTCTGCTGGTACTCTGACCCACTCCTCTCCAAGCGCAATGTTCTCCAGCATGCATACTTGTCGTGTTGTGTTCCTCTTGAGCCATTCAGGATTTTCTCCTTGTCAGCCTCTGACCCTTGCCTGCAGCCAAAGCTTCATACTGAGGGTGTTCTTTGTCTGCAGCTACTCTGAGGTTTGACTTAGCCTGCAGCACCTTTAGCCTATCAGCAATAGTCGGCAATTCAAGGATATATACACACAGTTGGCAATAAAGCAAAACCCCACACTAAAAAAGAACTGCAAATACATACCTGCTTGAAAATCAATGCCAAACAAGAATTCAAAAGACACTAAAAAAAAAACCACCATCAGTTAAATGTCTCTGACCACAAAATCTAATGGAACCACAAGAAACAAAATTAGAACAAGTACTGCACAATAAAGATTGAAATTATAAGATCCTAGAAACTTACCTGCTTGAATGCGATCAAATTATTATTTTGGTTTTTCAGAAAACAAGAAAAGACATAAAACTGTTCAAGTGTTACAATTTATTGAGCACAATATCCACTCTCTTCTGTAGCAGCAACATTACTGTTCAAAAGATGATGGATATTTATGCATGGGGAGAAGGTATAATATAATCGCCATAAGACAAACCATAAAACTGTTAAAGTGTTACAATTTATTGAGCACAATATCCACTCTTTTCTGTAGCAGTAACATTACTGTTCAAAAGATGATGGATATTTATGCATGGGGAGAAGGTATAATATAATCGCCATAAGACAAACCATAAAACTGTTAAAGTGTTACAATTTATTGAGCACAATATCCACTCTCTTCTACAGCAGCAACATTACTGTTCAGAAGATGATGGATATTTGCGCATGAATGCTGGAGGCTCTAGTTCTGGCTCAGACATCACTTCATAGTATTCCAAACAGCCATACCACTTAATCACACCCTCCTTGTTGATAAAACAGTGAATTTTCAACTCATCAGTGGGGTCTTGGAAAGTTTCAATGGCCAGGGAGTCACCCCAAACACTGGGAGAAAAATGTATGGCTGAGATTCTCATGGTATAATAGTCGTGAATTTTGGTCAAGTTTGAGTAGAAATTTTGGCTGGCTGCAATGCTGACGTTATCTATGAAAAATCTGATATACGATGCATGCTGTGTTTTACCATTTGTGTCAGTGTCTCTCAGTGTAACAACAACATGGTAAGAGAATGTTTTTCCTACCGAATCTGGTGGTTGCACTGGCCGGTAATTATCTGGCACTTCAGGTAACAGCCGAAGAAACTTGAGTGCCCACCATTCTGGAATGTGTTCAGATAACCCAGATTCTCTGTGAACTAGCGAGTTGCAAGATTTCAACATAATCGATGCTCGCTGACGACCGCCAAATGTTGCACTGCTGCAAACGGTAAACATTGTGCCCATCATGCCTGTTAACTTTAGGGATATCTGAAAACAAACAGCAATCCTTTCAATACCACTGCAGTTGTGTACAATAGCATGCTTTCTTATTCTCTCTTTCCACAGAATGTTTTGTGCACACTCAAGTGTGTGTAATCTATCTTCAGTTACCACTGAAGGTTTGTATGCACATTAACATATGTGTAATTTATCTTCATTTCTGAAAGTATGTGTGCACTCTAACAGCATGTGTAATTTATCTTCTGTTACCACTTAAGGTATGTTTGCACCCTAATAATGTGTGTAATTTACCTTCTATTAACACTTTTAAGCAAACTAATAAAGTGTATAATTTATCTTCTGGTAACATTTAAGGTATGTATGCAAACTAATAATCTGTGAAATTTATCTTGAATTAACAGTGAAGGTATGAATGAATGCAAATTTCAACAAAAAATAATCATCATCATGATCAGATGCCTTGCTGACTGGCATGGGCGATCATGCCTCTCCACAATCTGTGATCTCCTGCAGCATATCAGTTCGTGTCCTGACACACCTCCAAGAAGACTGTCAAGAATCTTCTCTCAATGTCTTTCTCTATTCCTCCTTCAACAGGTCTTACCAGTGGTCACAACATGTTCTATTTTCCCTCTTCTCATCACATGGATGAAAAAGGATGACTTTCTCCTTCTGATGTCTGTGATAAGTTGTCTTCGGGCGCCTGCATCTTTCAAAATCTCTTAGTTTCTCTTTTTGACCATCCAAGGTATTTTAAATATTCTTCTGTAAAACCACATCTCTGAGAAATAATAGTCTACTTAAAACCATGCTAGAGGAAAAGAAGGAAATTAACATTTCTGGACTGGGAGTTCAAAGGTTCTTTTGACCAGCTACTGAGTGAGTATTTGGTTTGACACTTTGAGCAGTAGATTTCAGGTGACCCTATGTTTTCTTTTGTGACTGTGACGGGTTTGTGTTGTGAACTGCGCTAGTGAACAACCATTTAAAAAATGGCAGGTTGCTGATTACATTAGGAATAGCATGTTCTTTCTATATTCTATATATGATGCCAGCTTTCAGGGTTGACTGTTTGCATCAACAGTGGGCTACAGTACTGGTGTGGGACTGTAAGTGTTGGCATATCTTACAGCTACTTTATGCATCTACTTTGTGTGTGCAAGCTTCAAAATTTTGCTAGAATTACCATGATTTTCAATAGTATTCAAAGGGCACAGTGAGTGTGTGTGTGATTTCCACAGGTACAGAAATGCAGCAGTTATGGGGCAAACTATCTGCAATGATGAAAAGCAGCTGCTGGGAGACTCTACCAGGCCATAGACCAAGGTTTCTTAGCAAAAGAGAAATTGGCAAGAAGACGAAAATGGCTGTTTACCGCTCTACCTGTGTACCAGTCCTGACCTATGGGTGTGAGTCATAGGCAATGACAACAGCTTATAGAAGCCAGCTTCAGAACTCAGAAATGAGATATTTGAGAAAGGTGGTCCAAGTGACAAGAAGGGACAAAGTCTGCAATCAGACAATATGTCAAGATCTTGATACCCAGCCCTGACAAACCCGAGTGGATCAGTCACAGTTACGATGGTTTGGACATGTATGCAGAATGGAAGAAAATCAGCCACCATGGCAGGCATGGAAGATAGGGAACCAGACCTCCAGGGCGACCCAGGGTCCGCTGGGAAGACAACATTCACCAGTCTTTAAATGACAGAGGACTGGAATGGAACAAAGCAAGAAAGAAAACTGCTGATATAGAGGTATGGCGATCTCTCTTGCAAACCTCTACACCCCAAGGTAGAAGAGCAGCAACTAAGTAAGTACCATCTGCAATGAAGCTGGATGCTCGACTAGCCACAAAGAAAACTGCTGATAGAGAGGTATGGCGATCTCTCTGGCAAACCTCTACACCCCAAGAGCAGCAACTAAGTAAGTACCATCTGCAATAAAGCTGGAAGCTCGACTAACAAATGTGTGTGAAACTTTACTGCAGAAATAATGTAAAGTTTTAAAATATCTATTTCAACCATCAAGAGCCTTGCCAACATTGGTCATCATGTTGCAGGTCCTTTGCAGAACGTAGCTTTCATCACAGTCTGCCTGTAAGAAACTCGGTCTCTTGCCAGTTCCCCCGCCTCATGAACTTTCACACTCAAGGAGTCACTTATATCCTGTGCCCATCTTCGTGTCGGTCGGCCTCTGCCCCTCCTTCCTGGTGCCATGCCTTCTGCTATAATTTTTTCTAATCCGTCGTGGCGCTTGATATGACAAAAATATTTCAGCTTTCGAGAAAGGATGCTGTTTATTAGCCAATCTTCCTTGATGTTCACATCTTTTAAGATGTCAATATTTCTCATCTTCTTTGTCCAAGATATTCTGAGAATCTTTCTATAGCATTTCAGCTCAAAAGCCCCTGAGGACATGGTCTAAAGCCATGTGGATGTGGAAAGCAATGGGAAACTACCACATTACTATCCCAAGAAACTCATCATGGAAGCCAACATTGGTATTGCATGTAATTCTCCAAAAGTGTACATCAGGAGCGGACGTGATATAGCACCTAGATGCTCGCATGCCGGCCCGAAGGTAGTTTGCTAAAATCTGCAATGAGCAAGATTTTTTTTTTTGTGACTTCACCTCCCAGTTTTAGACAGGTACCAGATAAAGTCCTGGGAAGTAAAGGCAGTCGGCATGATGCTGACCACATCACACACCAAACGCCGACTGAGCTAAAAACTATATATATATATATCCAATAGGCTTTCAGGCACAGAAAAAGGTCCTTTACTTAACAACAGCATATATCAGTTCATGTACTGACACCCTTGGTCAGGACAAAAGGATGTCAAGAAACTTCCTGTTGTTCTTTATCTCACTGTAAATTTTTCCAGCTGTCGCAGCATGTACCAGTTTTTCTCTTTTCATAATGTAGCCAAAAAAGTATGACTACCTCTTTCTGATATTTGTAATACATTTTCTTTGGGTTATAGCCTTTCAAAACCTCTATATTATTCATTTTGACTGTCCAAGGACTGTTAAGCATTTTTCTCTAAAATATCATTTCTGAGAACATTACCATAGTAAAGTAGTAAAGAAACCACCAGTAGCGCTCTAGTCATATGATGCTTATCTCATATTTTATAGACCAATCAGTACTTGATGGTTAATGTGACCAACATCACACAGCCTTCTTTACTTCCCAGGATACTGCCTGGTACCCATTTTAAGCTGGGTCAAAATGAATGGTATGGTAATTTTTTTTTTTTTCAAATCCACCCAGTGGAAAGTCAAGCCTAATATTTTCAATAGGAGATTCTAGCCACCATTTTACAATGGCTTCCAATAAATTACCATATAAAGTAAAAATTATTAATGAAAAAGACAAACTCATCAAAGATATTCAACCGAAAAAATTAATATTCATTGGCCATGTCAATGGAGAAGATTTAACAACTCTTATACGCAATGAAGATCGAGTAATGAAAGTATCAGTTATGTTATCATATAAATGCCAGACATCACACATACAAAAACCTCACCTGAATAGGTGACTTTGGAGTAGTTATTTCGTAAAAATGTCTGCGTATCTCCATAACTATGCCCTTGTTGTAGCTGCCAATTCCACGTTTACTTAAGTTATGATAGTCCAGAAATGACAATGTGTGGTCATAAAGAGCTGCATGTTCCACTCTATCTATAATGTTCATTAGCCTATGAAGATCTGGCTGACCTGAAAAGCATTGACTGTTTAAATTGAACTAGTTGCAATAAGTGAAATTACTCAAATTTCACACAAGGTTACCTTAGGGTTGGGGGACAAAAAGGCAGAAGAAGACATTAGGGTCCCACCAATCAAGTGACACATTTTTGTGCATCTTAATGGCATTATTTTTTTAGGTGTACGGCCTTTCCCGTTAGTATGATGTGTGGCCTTTTCTTGCGTGGATCAGTGACTGGCATCTCCTGGGTGTGGATGCGGTCTGATGTTTTCCTGTGGGATGGCTGCCCACTCTTCCTGGAGTGCCTGGAACACATCCAACCACTGCCTGGAGCAACGTCCCCGGAACAAACATGTCTTTGCAGCTCATTCCACTGATGCTCAATCGGACTGCAGACAGGGATGGCAGGAATGGGTTTGAATGTTATTGGCAGCTGGAACTGCGTGGTTAACCATGCAGAAGAGGGTCTGGCGTTATCCTGCTGAAAAAGATATATGTTGGCATTCCAAAATAGAAGGACATGTGGTCGAATAATTTCACTGACATATCGTTGTGAACTCAAGCTTTATACACGTCTGAATGCACATCAATGTGCACCAATCGACTCCTTTCATTGTAACTGATCATTCCCCACACCATTACACCTCCAGCACTGTGCAGCAGAGCTTCATCAACAAAATTTTGGGCTAAACCTTCATTTTACCTACAGCCATCTATCATAAAGCTGCAACAAAAAAGAAAGATTTGTCTCTGAACCATACAAGTCTCCGTTGAGAGTCACCTGCCCAGGGATGATGCTGGTTGATTTTAGCGGTAGCGACGCAGAAAAGACAGGCCCATGGTGTGGTCCTTGTGCATAAAGTCCAAGGTCATCCAGTTTGTTCAGAACAGTTTGATCAGACACATGACATTCTGTGCAGTTGAGGTAGCTGCTGTTAACCTGTCTCTGAGGTGACAAAGCTGAATAAAGCAATTATTTGCTGCTGTTGTCACTCTGCTTTGTCCACTGAGATGTCGGTCTTCAACTGAACTAGTGGTTTAAAACCAGTACCAAAGTCGACCGATGGTACTCGCTGCACGTTTTAATGCCTGGCAACCTTACTTTGACTTTCTCCTGCCTGCAGTCGGCCATTAGCAATATTCCTTAAATGTATCAATAGAGGCGCCATTCGTTACTCCTTGAAAATGAATTGAATGTTTTGGTGTAGCGTTATCCTTTCATAGGATTTCAAATGTGTAGGCAATGAATAGTGTTCACCCCAAATTGTTCTGCTTTCTCATGTGCACATCCTGAGCTATGCTCACACATATGGTCTTAAACACAAGTGACCACTGGGTTGTAACAATTACAAAAAACCTATGTAATTTACACCCACATGTCTAATGAACAGAGTAAACAAAATTCTGAATCTGCTTTTCACATACCCGAGCACATTTTATTTAACAATATGCTTACATCATGGGTGCTAATTTTCTGCAGTGGTTGGGGCAAATGGAGAAAATGGCAGAATGCAAAGAGACAAACCTGTGTGTACAAAAGAATTTATTTGGAGTAGACTATGAGGCAGAGAACGCAGATAGTGGAGAGATAAAATAGAGGTTGAGTTACAAACACTTGGAGTCAAAAAGCGGAGAGAGAAGGTCAATAAGGGAGATGAATGGAGGCAGGTAATAACTCTAGCAATGAACTCAAGGAGTCGGAAAACCGCAGAAGATGATTTTGATAAATGTAATGAATGCCCTGTGTGTCTTGGCATATATCGGCTACCCTCAAGCCAGTGACATCATACATTAGTGTCGTAACAATCAAGTTTATTAAAAAAATTGCTGCTTAATCCAGATCTGTACTTCAAGACTATTAAAAATTTTTTTATAGAATTATAGTTGTAATTACCTGTATAGTTGATGTCATCATATCGAAGCCCAGGTAACAACGCCAAAGCTTTATGTTGATCCTTGTGAACTTCAATTCTCAGGTTAAGTGAGGGGTAGGCTCTTAAAAAAATTAACACAAAATGAAACTTCACAAACAATTTAAACAAAATGCTCAACATAATAAAGAACAAGATCATTTAATGAACTGCTTCATATGTACTTATAAAGAAAGTAAGTAAAGGACACAACACACAGGCAATATCCACTACTATAAGGGGATAGTCAGGCAGTCTTGGCCAGTTTCCTTCTCTTTTATTTCTTGCTTCCTGAGCTCTTTTTCTCACCTCACCGTCTCTGTCTTAACGTATTTTTAACTGTAGAGACATATAATAGTTGTATGTGTCATGAAAATGAATTTCCTAAAGTTTATGAATGTTCACATTAATATCAACATGTAAGCATTCCTTGGATGTCAATGACTTATTTAGTTTTAGAATATTATCTTCCAGTAGGGTTTTTGTTTATATAAGGTGCCTGTTAGCAGGAACTGGTCTACTGTGTTCTCCTGGAAGCAGTCTAGGCATAAGGGTGCTGTAAATTTGGCTTTCCAGTATCCAAATCTTAACCTCCATGATTTGTTATTTGCTGTAATTTTTTAGATTGTCTGATTCTTGTGATGTCAAGGTGAGTTTTCTCGGCTCTCCTGTCAAATCCGGACGAAGAATAAAAAGCCTTGGACGACTTAGTCAGAGTTCTCTCCCTTGGCCGCACTGCAAACAGTGATCGGAAAAGCCAACGAAACAAACGACACACTTACCTATCATCATACGGTTGCGTGTAGGGCTGCGTACGGTTGCGTGAGCCACCGTGAAGGGATGCGTAGTCATCATACGGTTGCGTGCAGGGTGCGTGAGGCATAGTGAAGGGATGCGTAGTCATCATACGGTTGGGTGTAGGGATGCGTAGTGTTTGAGTTAGGGGTAGGGTTAGAGTTAGGGGTAGGGTTAGGGTTTAGAGTTAGGGGTAGGGTTAGGGTTAGGGGTAGGGTTGGGGTTAGGGTTGGGGTTAGGGTTAGGGGTAGGGTTAGATGTGAAAATTTTGACGTAGGATTTCGAAATACTGGCCGACAATCTGATGTTTGTGGGAGTGGCGCCACTGAAACTCTGCCAAATATGACGCCAACAGCGTGCGGCTGGTGCACCCAATCGTTGGCGAAATGTGCGTTTGACCAGCATCCAGAGGCCCTCGATTGTTTGTGTGTGTATGGGACTGTGCGCGATTATAGGGAACTCCTGCGTCAAAATTGTCAAATCTAACGCTAAACCTAACCCTACCGCTAACCCTAATCCTACTCCCTAGCCCTAACCCTTACCCCTAACCATGCAAATTTATCGATCATTAAAGCATACAAATCGGCAAAAACCAACAAACAAAACACACCCAAAAAAAACCAGAATTGTCCTGCAGCGTCGAAAAAAAACCCAGATCTGGGGGAAACAACCAAGCATTGGCAGCCCTGATGTCGACGTGACTGTCTTCTTTGTTTCCTTGACTTTTCCGATCACTGTTTGCAGTGCGGCCAAGGGAGAGAACTCTGACTAAGTCGTCCAAGGCTTTTTTTAGTCTTCGTCCGGATTTGACAGGAGTACCGTTTTCTCAAATTTTTGCAAGCTTTTTTGCCTCATTTCCCACTGTCTCTTCCACGTTCCTGATATCTCTTTTTGCAAACATGTCCACCATTTTATTAATCACAATGTCTTTATGCGCTGGAACCCATTCTATGGTGATCTGGCATCCGTTCCTGCGTTATGTGTTTAGTGTTAACATACCCTGCCTAGGTGAAAACTGGCTGATACAGTAAGCCTGGAAATTGGGTCTGGGACACATACTTGTGATGAAGAGTTAATAACAGGTGAATAACAGACTAAGGAGGGGCGTAAATAGGCCAACTTAAAACCAAACTTCAGACTTATTGTCACGAAAGGTGACAATGGTTTGACTGACTGACTGACTTTTTACCCCACCAGGACATCACACAAGCGATAAAGTGCCACCATGCGGATGAGGATCACCCGTTGAGAGGTCCCAGAAACCCCTTTCAGCCGTTAGGCCATATCTAGACTATGGCTAGGCCATATATTTATGCCCCGGCTATATTCAGGGCTCCTGGCAGAAGCCAGGGTTGGGCTTCAAAAAACGAAAAATTGCATCCCACATGGGGACGACAGTAACATAAACTGACGTTGCCGCCTGCGAGCAAGGAACAACTGACCGGCTACTGCTAGTATTAACAGTATTATTTATTATTTAGTAAATATTAGTAAAACTACTAAAAGTTTAAGCAGTGGCGTAGGAAGGGGGTGCGGGCTGCACCGGGTGATGCGGGGAGTCACACAAACAATTACAACAAATATGTTTTTAAATTATACAAAACACGGGGTAAAGGACAGGTCCTTTTCCTCACCGGGTGCCACCCGACCTTCCTTGCCCTGCTACTGGTTGTACGTCTTATCTTCTCTATATTATTTTTATTCTAAGCCTCGTTTATTTTAAGATTCATTTCCTGTTTCATCATCTCCTTCTCGCATGCATAATAATGCAAACAAAAACTAGTTTACCGTAACAAATGGTTGATTCGGCTGCGGTACATCCTGCCTGCTACATGTCCCAGCCAGCCACTGTTCTGATAGACAGATGTAAACACTGAAGGTACATACCAAGGAACTGTTACTCCTGCCTCCAATATCTTAGCCGCTAGGTGGTTCATTTTAACTCATGCATTACCGTTACCAAGCATATGGATGTGAATCCTGGACAATCGGTAGGTAGGCCAAACACATCAGAGATGTGGTTTTACAGAAGAATGCTTAGAATACCCTGGACAGCCAAAAAGAGCAACCAAGAGGTTTTGAACGAGGAGGGAGCCCGAAGACAACTTATCACAGACATCAGAAGGAGACGGTTATCATTTTTCGGCCATGTTATGAGAAGAGGGAAAATAGAACATGTTGTGACCACTGGAAAGATCTGTGGAAAAAGGGATAGAGGAAGACAACGAGAGAAGATGCTTGACAGTCTTGTTGCATGGCATGGAGGTGTGTCGGCACCCGACCTGATACATGCTGCTGGAGATTTGCAGATTATGGAGAGGCATGATCGCCCACGCCAGTCGACAAGGCACCTGATGATGATGATGATGATGATTACCAAGCAGCATAGCTATGCGCTTGCTTAGTAATGTCAAGGATCCTTGTGGTGCCTTCGGCCAGGGCTTTTTGCCTACGTTTATACAGGGACCAAAATGTTGAAAACGGGGATCGTCACAGGCCAACTGGCCAAGTCCCAACATAGATGAGGGGCTGAATTGAGTTAAGTCAAGAATTGATATCACAGCACTCGAGGCATTCCCATGCATACTCCATCCTCATCTTCAGCAGCCAGCGCAGAGTTCCAGTACTGATGGTACCGGTCGCAATCTGGTTAAATGTCCGTCTTGCCTTTCCTCTGAGTGTATTGAGCCGGTCTGACACTGTTTACACCCAGCTGCAGTCCCAGCATAGAAACTACTTGCTAAGTCTCCTCCGGTCGGATTCTTCCCATGGACCGCCAGTTGAACGATTTGATTTGATTCAAGAACCGACATCACAGCACTAGGGGCATTTCCATAAGCGCTTCATCCCCATCTTCAGCAGCCAGCGAAGAGTTCCGATACTAATGGTGCCAGTAGCATTCTGACTAAACGTTCGTCTTGCCTTTCCTCTGAGCCTCGAGCATCTGCCAGAACCTCTTCCCCTCCCCCCCCCCCCTTTTTGTTAATCAATCTCACCAGACTGTGGTGATCCATCTGCTCCTTCGTACTGTACACGCTCTCCCACAAGGTACTAACCACGTCTACCTTATCATGCATCAGTATTCCACCAATTTGTGCAGAGCCAGCCAATCTGTCCGCCTGTCCATTTCCCAACACACCGGCGTATTCCGGTGAGAAAAAAAAATCCAGACAATACTCCTCACCCGTGTCTTCCGCAGCAAAGCATGGCACTCTGCACGAAGCATGCCTGTCCTGAACTTCCTCGGCATGCTTTCTGCGTCATTTACAATCACGGTGTGTGTGTGTGTGTGTGTTCTCTAGCTAGCGGAAAGCTGCAGTGACCGCCTCCACCTCCATTCATAAGCTGGATGTTGCGGTATCATATGATAGGCTCTCCTGACCCAAACGTCGACCATTACTTTTTGCCAAGAAACCCTAAGCACTTCTTTTGCCTCTTGACACTGAATCGTCTGTGTAAATTATCAAATCTTCTGAGCGAGCATTATCTTGAATTAACTGCTAAATTTCCACCTCCGTTGCACCTACTAACCATTCTCTGCGTTCCCGGCTCATTGTGATTATTATCCTACACAAGCCTCACTGTCTCTTTGAGACGGTAAGCAGTCCCCGGCCATAATCAACCACTGACAGGATCAGGTGCTGATAAAATGTAAAAAGCATTCTCTGCTCTGTCAATTGCAGCCATAGTTTTAAGTGCACTAAGTCCTTTTTGGCATTTTGTCACAACACTCTCCACATGGTCCTTAAAGGATAGGCTCCTATCAAATATAATTCTCAGATACTTCAGTTTGCTCTCTCTCTGTTGACGTTTCTACCATTTATCGTTAGACTTAGGACATAAGCTTTAACGATCCTGTTGTCTTGAAAACATCACAAAACAGACCCCTTTTCCAGATGGATGACAGCCCTAATTTCTGTACACCACTCAGTCACTTTGTCTACTGTCGCTTGTAGCTCCCGGGCTGCTTGTTCCCTCTCTTCCCCTGCCTTTATGCAAGTATATCATCAGCAAAAGTCAGCATACTTCAAACTCCTGGTACTTCAAGGCTTGCAATCTTAGTCGTAAACATGTTAAAGAGCACAGGCGAGATAGCGGATCCCTGTGGCAGTCCTAGGGCCAAACTGGATGGTTCTGAGGTCCAGCATCCTCGGAATCCAGTGCTACTGCCATAGTTTCCTGTCTGTTCTGGAACCCTTCATAGACGTTAAAAGCAAAGGTGGCCGCATTTGCCCATGTGTCCTTTCCTGGCGTGTAGCTTCCCAGACCTCTTGGGAGAAGCTTCCACCTTTGCAAAAATTCTTGCAGAATTCTCGCGTGATGCCACATCTCCCATCTTGTGCAGTTCAGTCTACTAAAAATATAGGTCTAGCCCTATATGCCCTATACGCCTAAAGGGTCCTTTACTTACTTAACTATCTGGGACTTTGCCTTGTTGGTCTACCATCCGAATTGAGATCTGTATGTCAAACTTGCAGACGGGAAGAGGTGGACGCACATATGGGTAAGGACTTCAGCCCTTCCCCTAAACAAATAAGGGCGGGTGGGTGGGGATGCCCAAGGTGCCTGAGCTCTGAAAAGTCCTAGAGCCCCTGCTCGTGGTATAGATTCTAAATAGTGGGCATAGTGGTCTTGAAACATGGCGTCGGCCTCGAGTGCTGAAGGTCCCAGGTTCAAGCCCCGGTGAAGGCTGGGATTTGTTCACGTTGGCTTCTAGTAATTTCATCTTGTCTCTGTATAGTAAGATATTGTTGCGCAAAAAAAAAAAAAAAGTCAATTGGCAGTTAGAAATCTAAAAGAGTAACATAGTAGCACTGCCCAGACAAAATTTGAAGTAAAAAATCTACCTAAAAGTAGTTCAGTGTCCTCGCTGGTGCTAGGCAGTTCGTTCACCACGCTGAGATTCTCCGGACTCAGGCTTGAGTTAGAAGTAGAACGGAACACTTATGGGTTACTACTCTTGTGCCATGATGTTGATCCGTTGTTCAAACCAGAGATTCTGGTGGTAGCATGAGATTACGAAATGTAACCGCTGCTGCTTAAATGAAAAGACGATGATGATGTTATTGATGATGATAATGATGATCAGTGCTTTCTCTCTCTCTCTCTCTCTCTCTCTCTCTCTCTCTCTCTCTCTCTCTCTCTCTCTCTCTCTCTCTGTGTGTGTGTGTGTGTAAAACGAAAAAGATGCAGGTAGTCCCCACAGTGTGTCTAATAAAAGGGTGTAGGTAATCTTCATAAATTGTTGGTTACAGCATAGCAGGGAGAAATATGACAATGGTATAGTCTGAATATAGTATGGGACGTTTTAAAAGTAATTTAATTCAAGATTAAACATTTCATACCTTTCGATTTTTTTTTTGGGGGGGGGGGGGGGGGGCATTTTCAAACTTATTTGGTACTATTACCAAAATAATTTCGGCAGCCCTGCTGGAAGGACGTCACTTTGCTAGCAGACGACAACCATTGCCCAAACATGAACATGAGATTAAAGTCTCCTACACTTTGTTTTATTTTTCAAACTTCTACCAAGTGAAGATGAATTTCAGACTTGAAACACCGAATAACTTTTATCAACCCGTGTCTTTCGAAATGTTCAAGTTTAATTAGCTGTTTCAACAGAACAAAAGCAATGTCGTTTTAGTTGGTTTAAAACTATCTGCTTTGAGTTGCCTAGATGTACTGTCGCCGTTTGATTTGTGATTTCACGAGGAAGTAAAAAGAAATAAGTTACTATTGACAGCTGTGATTTCCAAGAGTTCATATTTCCTACAGATATGGCATTACATATAAATAATCACAAAAGTAATTATAGGTTGCTGTTATTTTTATGAAAGTTTTGATGACACAATTTTTCTAAGCGGTATTTTTCAGTACCAGGTAGTTTGGCACCAGAAGACTATAAGCGTGCCGTGTGAATGTCATTGTCAGATTTCTTTAGTGCAACATATTAATTCATTTAATAATACTACAATTAATTTATACTATAATCAACTGACCATGCGTCGCATTGCAATGCAGATTATACCCCTAGGATTATACAGTCCGCAAGATTAACAAGGATGAAAAAACCTCATGCAGAAATCAGCTATAATTGCGACTTAGGTTATTTGTGCCAATAAAATGGTAGAACATTGCTCGCCCTGAAAATGACTCTTAATCGTCTACTGGCCAGCAGGTAAGCCCAGTTCAACCGTAAGGTTATATATACTTGGCGCACCTGATGGTTATGAAATAACTTGAAGCTCGTACCATGCAGGGACTGGTGGTTTTTTTTTTTTGTTGTTGCTTCTCCGTGTATTATAAGTTTTTTCTTCACTTTTTGTAAACTATCTCATTCTTAAATTCGCATACCTTATCCTAATTGTTACTAACCCTGTAAATACAATAGGGTTATATTTTAGACATGTTTAATTACATATTTGTTTAGCACAAATGTTCCAGACAGAATGAGTTGAAATAACAGTTGCTTGGGGCTAAAAGAATTAAAACAGACAAGGAACCAAGGCTTTTTTTCCACTAGCATTATTTCAGCACTTTGGTAATAGACACTTTGGCTATCCTCCTAATAACAGGCACATATTATGGCGGCCGCAAAAACCCCCTAACAGGGCCTCAGTCACGTGTCAATTTTGCACTTCCGGCAACCTAATTTTGGGTTTTCCGGTGACTACCGCCACCACTGAGAGTATCCCCCACGCCGCTCACGCGGTGTGAATTGGGGCTAAACTAGAAGGCTGGGACTCACGAGCAGCAGCTTCCGCATCTCCTGCAGCTTTGCTCATGAGTCCCAGCCATTTCTTAATACACGGGCATATCA